CTCCCCCCCCTCGACGGATATTGAGGTTGGTGGGGGTGGGAGCGGCTGATACTTGTGGAGTGGCATAAGGGACTTGTATTGAACTAAAAAGTCTTTTCTACACCAAGTATGACTTCACTATCTTAGTGCCGTGGAAGTTTTCTCGCGACGCTCGCATCCCAGGCGTTACTGCTGTCAAATCAGCTCAAACAGACCTGTAATCGGGGGACGTCGTACGCTGGGAATCGCCAGCAAGGAGGGTCGTATTGGGTCGCTGGAGGGGGGGGGGGAGACCGTACTTACATTGTGATAAATGTTTTCGGTCGTTGACTTGTTCTGGTTTTCCCGGTTTATCGAGGCTAAACAAGGGGGGGGGGGCAAAAAAAACACTTTTCTTCCCTGACTTTTAGGGAGCTATAAGTTACACTTTATTGAATTCTGATTGGACATTTCCACGCCATATTCAACAGCATATACTATCACGATACTCCGCCACAGCCTTCTGGACGAACGCCATCGAGAGATTCTGCCACGCGACCGTGATTCGGTGCCTGAGTTCAGCGAGGTCGTTGATTTCTCCGCCACTGTAGACCACCCTGTTGAGCTCCGCCGACCCGTAATCGAGGGGGTTTAGGTCAGGTGACACACTTAGATATTCCGTCTTCTTCAGGTACTCAACGCCCTTCCATTCCAAGTAGGCGAAAGTTTTTCCAACGCCCTTCGATTCCATGTGGTGGCAATCCTGTAGCAGTACGAAGTTTCCAAGATGGTACAGGCGATGACATGAAGGCAGGATATTCTCCACGAGTTGTCGATGTAACCGCCAGCGTTCACTTTCAGTCCGGGGTCCACGAAGAAAATATTGGTCTTCCATTCCAGGTACTTCCGGTCCATACCATCAACCCGCGCCTTGGCGACTGCGGTGAAGATGATATCCTGGACCGTAGCGACGTTCGAGCTGCTCGATGGGGAGGTCTTCCAGATCAAGAGTGCCGGTCTCCAAGTAGTTGTTTATGGGTGGCTCCATACCAAAAGTATCGCAGCTGTTTGGAGTGACTCGTGAGGATCCAAGCGCCTTCTGTCAGTAGGCTGCAATTTGGAAGATGGTTTCATTATATTTGGTCGTACATGAAGGTGATGGGGCGGGTTGGCTCTCCTAGCTGCTATATCGATAGATATCTTGGGTCCTTCCCGTTGCGCTCGTATCACTCCTCGCTGTTGCGACTGTGAAAACTTTCCTGATATGTGACTCGGGCCGAAGTTCTTTTTTTGGCACCCTGTATACCCCACTCCTAATCGACGGTAGTTTGTCGAGGGCAACATGTAGAATTTCTCCGGAAAAGTGGTAGAAGGTTGGGAGGATTTAGGAGGATGGTAGGTAGGGCAGAGGATGGGGAAGGGGGGGGGGTGTCGTGTTTTGCAATTTTTCAAATGATCCACCTTTCACTGATGCGACGATTATGGCGTTACAAGTGAAGTCGTGCGCGCGTCGCTCCCAAGAAACCTATTTGGTTCAACGTAGAGATACTGCAGCGTTCTGGGTGAAATACTGCCGTTTTGGGTTTGGATAGCCATTGAATACTAGCTAAACCCTGTTTCCCCCCCGCTCCATTTCCGCCGCAATTTAGATCTCCTAAATCTCCCTTCCGAAAAGAAAGTTAAACCCACATTATCTTTGGGATGATGCTCGGCGCTTACACACGGCGTACCACGTAGATAACTGCGCAAACAGGATCGTAGGCAATCATCTTTGAAGTCCACCAATTCCTCCGTCATCGAGTCCACGGTTAGCTGGAAGGGTGGTATATTTTTGGCCCATGAGCTGAATCAAACGTATGAGGGAGAGGCTGAAAACTCACCTGGAAGTTTGGCTTCTCGACGAAACATTCGTTGATGTCAAGGTAGTCACCTGGAAAGTAACAGTCACCTTGATTAAAAAACAGTACGGCACAGTTTCGGTCCAGGGATGGGGGGGAGAGCACTATGCACTTTTACTACTTCTCATCGTCGTGTCGAGGCATGCAGTAAAGATCTGTGAAATTTCGTGAAGCCATGAAGTAACATCAGTACGTTTGTAGAGACTACTTGTTAACTCTTATAACGAATACCAGTCAACTCTCGTGAAGCAATGAACAGGACGATAGGAAGTAGCGAAACTGCAAAATGCCCCCTCCCAAGACAAACTACGCCGACGGTACTTTGACTTGGGTCCTACTTTCATACGACTTCCTTGAATGCCTCTCCTGCCTCCCCCCCTCCCCACCTCTTCCCCGAGGTTACTAGCACATAACCTTATACAGTGGGGAGAGAATTAAATAAATTAAATATAAATAACTAACAAATTAAGTGGAATTAGTAATAATTCGGATGATTTCCTGATTTCCTGATGAAAAAAGGGGCTTGTTAACGCTAGGTTACTTCCTTTCGTGAGTTAACTAGATCTCACTTAGGTCAGAGCCGTAAATACCCGTGAAGCTGTGAAATTATACGAGTGAACCAATGTTGTCGCAAGGATCTGCAGGTCTAACAAGGTCGTGATCTGCGGAACTAGCTGGATACCGGATCTGGGTGCCCACGCAAGGCCGAACTACATCCGCTAAAATATTTTCGGGCCTCCAGAGCATTGCTTCCAGATCTGCGCACCGTCTCCTGCGCTTAGCGTCCTCACCAAATGCCTTTATCTTCGCTGGAAAGGCAGCTAAATTGGTCACGCCGTCACTCCTGCAGCTTAGAAAGTTTCTAGAGAATACGTATCGCACCACACCCATTACATTTCTCCCCCCTCCCCACCCCCATACCACCCTCATGTCCCTTCCTAGCTACATCTTACTGACTTTCCCCAACTTTCTACACCAGTTTTTCCCCTTTTTCCTAGGAGTTTTCCATTATGGCGGCATAACAGCTAGTTGAGAACGGAAAAATCAGGGAACATCAATATCGGAAAAACTGCATCGCTCTGGAAAGAAACCTCCTGAGGTCGGACCCCCTCGCCGGCCTACGAACCCCCATGCCATATCAGTCATGTTGAAGATGCCATACTTATTCCGAAATAGTTCTATGACGTCCGCGGGAGCTGACGAGCACTCGCAAGGCCCGGCGAGTATGGAAAGCATGTGAGGGTCTCCGATGCAAGGACGGCATCAGGGGGCAAATAAGCTAGTCCAAAAATCCCGAAACACAGCTTGGAGAGCCCGTGTCGCAAGGCTACGCGTTGGTATCTTGACGGAACGCTCATATGAGCTGGCAGAGGCACCAAGGCACATCACTGGTTGGGGATTTTAGTCGAGTCTGTACGACCCCCCCCACCTTTTTGGGGTTAGTACGACCACAGGAAAACCATCAAAAGTCAACCACCACTCCTACAACGCCAAAACGTAAATACGACCCCCCTCTCTCAACAATGATCAAGTACGACCCCCCTCTCCTGATGCTAAATACGACCCCCCCTCCCCCTATTGAGGATTCTTCAACAACGGATGTGCCCTGCGGAGAGGCACTGCCATCGAAGACGAATCGATCTTTGTCGATTGGATAACAGAGGTCCAACTGCTAAGCGCGGAGACATTGCGTCGCGCTTTTAAGCCATTCTTGTGGCCGAACCACGATACCACTAATTGGTACCGTGACCCGTAGTCGGTTTCTTACGTCTTCCGTGACTCCGCGCGGCTAGGTGTGGCAAAGCGCTTCCGCGAGCGTCTTGATAAAGATTGGGAGTCGACGCGAGACTCCGAACCCGGCTCGCCACCGCGAGTGCGTGAAGCGCCGCACCTTGTTCACTTACACCACCTCCGCCTCTCTTTTCTGCATATGCCCCTCAAAAAGGATGCTCCAAGCTACCAAAAGACGAGTTCTGGTTCCTGCAACGAAAGACGATTATGGTTGTCATTATCACAGTCAAAAATCTAAAGAATCAGTCAGTTGACCTATCGCGATATACGGCCTTAAATGCTGTTCGAAATGACGACGTAGGCAAAAGATTCGTATGTAGCTACCCACAGCGATAAACGGCGCCAGATCTAGCCTTCGATGGCACGGACTATACTGCTGAATTTCTAACACGTGCATAGACAGGTCCTGAGTGACTCGTGTCCCAGAAAAGTGCCTTAAGGAACGCCTCAACACACGGCTGCTGACGTTGTCATACGGATTCGAAGAGATAGTTGGGCACCATCCCCCAGACAATTCAACCAAGAGATAGTTGGCGTCACAAAATAGAACGGAGCGGACCCCGCCTTGGAGCAGGACAAACGCTGAACGCTGAAGAAGAAGAAGAAGTTGCGAACCCTCTCACAGCGACGAACAAATACGATCCTCCTATCGGGACACGTCATTAGATGGGAGTTTCGGTTGAGTCCGTCGTAAGACTCCCCCCTGGTTCCCTCCTCATCGAGCTGTCGAGCGGGGGGGGGGGAGGGCCGGTAGAAATAGCACATGTGCACAATGACACAATGACACACGATAGCCCACAGCTACCATTTTTTAGATTTACTCCAACTTCCTACCACTTTCCGGAAAGGTTTTTTTAATTTTAAAATTTTTATAATTTTACCCAAAAATTTTGCTGTCAAGCGGCGGATGTACAGTACACATGAAATATGAAAACCCACGAAAGATCAGCAACCTCTCTCACAAGAGAATTACGACCCTCCCCCCGCTCCCAACAATGAGCAAATACGACCCCCCCCACTTTTTACAACGTCCGTGAAGCGAGAAAAATCAACTATCAAAATAAATTTTTCTCAGCCCAAATACGACCCTCCCCCTGCTGGGGTCTTCCAACAAAGATGTGCCCTGCCTCCTTCAAAGACAATAACTCCCAATAAATAGTGCGCACGAACAGAAGAAATCAAATATCAAAAAAGAGCTCTAATCTAAACACGACCCCTCTCCCTCCAGCGACTAAATACGACCTCCCACTGGAGATACCCAGCGTACGACTGCCGTGGTATTAAGTGGTCCTCGCAAGTCCTTTTAAATTCTAAAATATTTAGAAGTGAGAGCGTAATTCGTGAATGTTCCTTATTTCATACATAGTACTTGCTCTTGTCAAGGAGAATCGCGCAGTTCGGCTCGGCGGGGGCATCTGGGGGCATTTTGCTGGTCCTTATCGATCATTTCTGATCACTCATACGAAGACCTGTAAACTCTTGTGAAACCTTGCTATAGCATCCGCTTCGTTTACTTTTGACAAGACTTCACAGGTTCTAGCACGATGAGTATTCATGTAATTTAACAGAAACTGAAAGGGGAAACTGGCAAAATGCATAATGCCCCTCCCAAGCCGAACAGAGCTGAAGAAGCTAACACCGATCCGAAAGTCGTTGGACGTCAGGGGTCTGGCTACGTTCGATAAACTCTTCAGCGGCACTTATGAGGTTGCTTAAATACTCGGGCCTCCTTGCGCATTTATCACACCGCAGGCAGTACCGAATCAGAACCTCGGATCCACTACAACCACATTGACCTTCCCCCCCTCCTTTCAACTACTTGTAAACTTGAATTTCACTGAAAAAAACGTAATGGTCAATGTAGTGATGTTACAAAGCCCAGAAACTCATAAAAAAGGATGCTAGTGGTCGTTTGAGATGTTACGCTGATTAGGGCGGCTCTTAATGATGATTGGAACCCGACTTCCATATCTACATCTCTTATCCCTGAGACGGAGTAGGCGTGGCATTAAACCTGGCATAGTATGGGTTACTCGTGGGATATTTTAGTTTCAGACAACTGTCATCTTGTTCGGTGTTGGACAGAGGCATGACGACACCTGTGTCAAGATGAAATATCTCACGAAAGCACAGACACCGCCTCCTTCAGCTGAAGCATGCAGCCACGCCTACCGCATCTCAGGGATTCCGAGGATGCTGTGGTCGTCTCTAAACGGACTTGGGGAGGTTCTTCAAGTGAGTACTCCATTTGGTAATCTAAGACGGCATACAACGTGGTCAACGCCGTGGTATCTGACCAGGGCACACAACATCGATCGGAAAAATGTTCAAAAATGTTCAGTGCGACCCTCTCCCTTCATCCCTAACTTGGAAAGAATAGAATTTCGGTACGTCTCTTCACGGCGCTGTTCGGCTTGGGAGGGGCATTTCACACTTGCTAGTTCTTTTGTTAGTTCACATTTACTGACAGGTTTCTTTTTGGAGGGACCTGTGGTGAAAAGTGAGCTAGACTGGAGTTGTGGACATGTTCGCCAATGACACATTATCCACTTACTAACAAGTAATGACGTACTGGACCGCCTTCCTGTACTTTATCAGCCCCTTCTGTACTTCATCAGCTGTACCCAGACTGGGGCGGGGGGAAGAGGAAGGCATAGATAGTAGAACTGTACGCGCGTTTGCTCACTCACTCCCCTCTTGTGTCTAGCCAGGTAAACGCATATGTTCAAATCGCCCTCTTCCCCTGTGTCTCGATGAGCAATCCCAATAAATCACCGAGATTTTCGGTCCCAGAGGATTGAAATGAATTCTAAAAGTCTCAACAGCAGGTAGCGCAGAAGAAGCCCAGGCCTGTCACATGAGCGAATAAAATATCCGTTAATCCGCCGGAGGGAGCGCAGTGTAAGCTTCTGCAAATGTGCTCCGCTATTTGGTAAAGATTCGTGCAACAAAGCAATCTACTGTTATGCTCAGCGCATCCCACAGCTGGTTTTGCATTCTGAAAACGTTAATGAAATGTCTCTTTCTCGCGTTTTCGCCGGAGGGTGTTTTGCTGCATTGAGTGGTTGAGTGGGGGGGTGGCGGGAGGCGGTGCGGAGCGCTCGGGGTTGGGTCAGCTGTGGGGTTGGGTGGAGTGGGGGGCGAGGCACGCGGGAGGGGTGGGCGGTGGCAGTTCGTGTGGCGATGCCAGGGGGCTGGGGGTCAGTGTGGGAGAGGGGAGGAGGAAGGATTGCTTTCAGATTGGCGAGAGAGGACGTTGCTAAGGTTGGTAGGGAGGGACAAAGGTCGTCGGTGCGCGAAGGGGCCAGTGCTGGGGCGGGTTGGGAAGTGTTGGGGGAGTCGCGTGAGGGGCGGCGGGTGGTGGGTGGAGGCGGGTGCGACTGGGAATGAGTGGCGAGGTGAGCGAGTCGAAGGAGCGTCGCGTGATCGGTGGAGGCGCGCTACGATCTTGACTTGCTGGCATGAAAGCACAGCCGATAGAAGTCCCTCGCCTTCAAGAAACAGTATGAAGTTGTCATAAGATCAACGATGGTTGACCGATTCTCAGGTTGAGGAAGTTGTTAGAGGGTACTATCTACAGGGGGGGCCAAAAAAAAGTCATTTTGCCTCCATGACTTTCAAGGCGCTATAAGTTACACTTTATTAAATTTTTATCGGACATTTTTACTACCATGCGCATGCAGCTTACCTCCAGCCGATGGCAAGCCAGTCGAGGACTTGTGGAATACGTTTAGCAGATCCGTTACGACTGCTGCTAAGTCTGCTTTAGGAACCACGAAACCCGGTCGACGTATTGACAAACAAACGTGGTTGTGGACGGCCGAAGTGAAGCAGAAAGTGATGGAAAAGAAGGCTGCCTACAAGTCTTGGCTTACGGATAAAACTACCGAGAACTGGAGGAAGTATACCACCGCTAGAAGAGAGGCAAAGAGGTCTGTAGCCGTAGTCAAAGCAGAACATTTCCGAGGCCTATACGAGCAACTGGGTACCAAGGAAGGTGAGAAAAACATCTACAGACTGGCGAAAACACGGGCCCAAGCAGCGAAGGACGTTGAGCACTATATGTGTGTAAAGGACGCAAATGGAGAGCGGCTGCATAGTAGGCCGAAGATTCTGCTTCGCTGGTGGGAACACTTCAA